CGGTGGATTTTGAGGAGGATGTGGCCCATGACCCCAATGGAGAGACTTTGACGTTGGAGGCCCAAATGCAGCCTCTGCTGATGGACTCCATGACAAAAAGCAAGGATGGTTTCCTCGGGGTAAGACGAGACCTAACAAGAGGAAGTTTATTGTTTTAATGTTCTCTTTATCTTGACTACTGCATAGTAATAACAGTTGAGCCTACATCAACAGGTTTTAAGGATAGTCACACAATAACTGTAGTTTTTATGAAAGTTTGAACAAACTTAATTTTTTTAGAAAATAAACATCAGAGAGAGATACTGGAGATTATTGAAATTAATGAATTATTATTTATAAACTTTGCAATACATTTTTTCACCACTTTGTCCATGCAGTTCTATCAAAATGTGAAAGCAACCAAGAATGGAATCATAACCAAAAACCTCCTGCTCTCTCAGGTGTCTCACAGCTCTCTGAGTGGGCTGCGCTCATGGAAGGGCCCAGCAGTCCCCGCCTCCTCTTTCTCTGCCAGCCAGTTCAGGGCCTTCTTGCCCCCAAAGAACAAAGATGAAGTGGGAGACACATGGTGGGTGATTCCCAGCGAACTCAACATCTTCACTGGATACCTGCCCAACAATCGCTACCACCCTCCCTCACCAAAGGGCAAAGAGGTATCCTTAAAACTCATTCATATTTCATGTTTAAAGGCATGTGATAAATAGACTGTATACTGATATGTTCCTATCCTGCTGCAGGTTCTCATCCACTCCTTGTTGAGTATGTTCCACCCGCGTCCCTTCATCAAATCCCGCTTTGCCCCCCAGGGCGCAGTCGCCTGCATTCGTGCCAGCAACGACTTTTATTACGACATTGTGTTCAGGTAAGGAGCCATTAGGGAAGCGACATAAAATACCATAGCAGTGCTCAGCCCATTAACTACAGCATTATGTATACTTTATATTAGTGCTGCATAATATTCAGAACGTACTATACATTATAATATCCTCCCTGGCAGGCAGCCATTGGTTTCATCATCATGCGGAGCCTGAGACTGTTTTACTTTGTTGTCCATAGAGAGTTATTAACACGTGTTAATGCAGTTTCCAGTTCTTTACTACCTGTTTTGAAAAATATATATGTCGTTGGAGTGGAAACACAATTGTGAGATTTCAGTCAGCTCTTGGAAAGCAACTTTTTTAATGAAAGAAACTGCCAGATCCATACTACTTTTAACATTATATAAACAAAAGGCTACAATACATTTTCCAGTAACTTCTTGACAGAACACATCTTGCGGTACGTAATCAACTCCTTGTTCTGTTAACCTCTTCAGGATTCATGCAGAATTCCAGCTGAATGATGTTCCAGACTTTCCCTTCTGGTTCACCCCGGGGAAGTTCATTGGAAACATTGTGCTCTCTAAAGATGCATCTCATGTCCGCCACTTTCATCTCTACGTCCCCAATGACAGGTAAATCCTTTAAACACACTTTCAGTCACCTTTGTGCATGCAGTCCCCACTCAGTGTTTTCACGTGTGTCAGGTCTCTGAATGTGGACATGGAGTGGCTGTACGGGGCCAGTGAGAGCAGCAACATGGAGGTGGACATCGGATACCTGCCGCAGGTAGAGCTGCACGCATGCATTGACCCTTCATAAGATGTCTCTATTTCTGTACTAGTGTGGTTTTCCAGCTCTTCCTGATTTAGTTCTCTATCATTGAGTCATACAATTAAGTTCATTCATTACATCTCCATATTGGTTGTCAGGATTGTTGTCTTTTTAAATGTGTCCTGTCACTGTTTTTGAGTGTCCTAATGTTTGGGTGCTCCTAGAATTAATTTAATTTCCTTTTTTTGTCGGTTATTAAACCTTTTAGAGAGCATTGGCCCTATTCCCTTTTTAAATTCAATAATTGCTTTATGTATTTAAAATATACTAAAGCTTTTCAGGCATTAATTATTTAAAAAAACCTTATTGAGCCATTTGTTAGCTTTCTGTATGGACTTCTGCCTAAAACCAATAACATTTCCCTAGTCACTATTTCACTAGTGTCTCCCAAAATAAAAATAAATCCTCAGAAAATGACACAGATTTAAGTATATCATGTTTAAAAAAAAATCTGGAACTGCCTTGTATAAAAAGTTGTGAACGTGTCCACAGTTAGAGCTGCAGGCCACGGGCCCGTCCACTCCATCCATCATCATGGATGAGGAGGGTAACATCATCGACAGCCAAGATGGCAACAGCGAGCCGATCCAGTTCATCTTTGAGGACATCCACTGGACCTCGGAGATCAGTGAGGAGGAAGCCACTCGACGGCTGGAGGTCACCCTCTACCCCTTCAAGAAGGTAACCATCTACCAATCTTTTATTTCAACCACTGTTGTCTTAAATGTTGTTGTGGGTTCACAGCTTTTACATTGTCACCATTGTTCTTCCTCCCAGGTGTCCTACCTGCCCTTCTCAGAAGCCTTTGAGCGAGCGGCAGCAGAGAATAAACTGGTGCACTCCATTCTGCTTTGGGGAGCATTGGACGATCAATCCTGCTGAGGTGAGATCATGAATGTGTTGAATACACAGCATGCTGATTGAGATTTGACTTAGTGTTTAAATCAAAGGCCTAAATATGGACTACATCTAAACAATGACATACAAACTGGTAAATATAAGAGATGCATTTGCCCATTCAGGAATTTCCACAGCATTGTAGCCTGGTGAGAAATAGATACTTAATATTGTCTTTTGTCAGTATAAAAATCTCCTTTTTACTTAGCAGCATTTCAAATAAATTCTATAAACATTTATTATGAGTGAAAAATAGTATTCAAATAAGTTCTTCTTCTTCTTGTGTCAATATGTAGCATAAATACCATACTTTATAACTTTTAAAAGTAGTCTTAACATATTATCCCTTTTTAAGAATTCATAAACAATTCCTCTTGGTTAGTTGAAGACACCAAGTAGCCTGTGGTGGCTAATGGTAGCTAATGTTTTGGTAAAGGTTGCTGTATAATGAACATTTCTGACTTACTTTGCTGCATTTTGGAACTCTTCTTCAATTTTGCTTGTGTCAAATACATTTTGAGTTCACTTGAGATGTAAAGGCTTTACTTTTTCAACAACTCTCCCATCTCTCCTTCTCACCTCTGCAGGTTCGGGGCGAACTCTCCGGGAGACCGTCCTGGAAAGTTCGCCCGTCATGGCCCTGCTCAACCAGAGCTTCATAAGCAGCTGGTCTCTGGTCAGAGAGCTGGAGAACATGCAGGTGGGGCAGTGCAACCTCAAGAAATCCAAACAGTGATTTTTTTGAAATGTTTCATACTCTGTTACCTTTTAACAATCTTCTTCTGATAAACAGGCTGATGAGCAGAACCCTGTGCTGAGTGAAAAGGCCAAATTACACCTGGAGAATTACAACTTCCCCGTGGAGATGATGGTGGCACTGCCCAATGGAACGATTGTAAATATTTTTCTCCTTTCTCTTTTTATCAGCCTTCAATTTATGAAACATCGAGGACTCAGTTTTAAACAAACACGTGTAGAAAAACTTCCTTTGATATCGGTTTTAAGTCAGAACATTTACTTGCTTAGTTTTTTTTGTGTATTTGTAGTCCCACTTTTATGAAGTGTGATATTTATTGATGTTCTTAATCTTTAATAAAAAAAAAGTTAATGTATTCTCTGTCTATGTTTTATATCAACATTTGCATGGAAAAGCTAACCTAAAGCTATCTTCTTCCTGTATGACTTTAGGTCCACCACATCAACGCCAACTTCTTCCTGGACCAGACGGCTATGAAACCAGAGGAGGAAGAAGCAATGTTCAGCTTCTCTGCTGCGTTCGAGGACCCCTCCACAGCCACTTATCTCAGCTTCCTGAAGGAGGGGTTGGAGAAAGCCAAGCAGTACCTGGCACAGTAATTAGAGTGTGCGATAGAGACTGAGAAACTCAAAAAAGGAGGAAATAATCATAATTCCTCTGGGTAATGATGCGAGATAAGGAAAAGCCTCCAACAATTATGTAGAGAAGCTTTCTCATCCATGTGGCAGCTGATAAACGTTTTCATCCTCTGTCCTTTTTGTTGCTATTTATTTAGTCATCTCCTTTTTAGTTAGTTTTAAACACAATATTGACATTGTGACAAACAGTACAGGGACATATTCTCAAGCCTTATGTTACTCTCAGTATAGTATATTTGCATTCTAATGAGATACAGTAACAGACATGTAAACACATTTACATCTGCTCTTTACTTGTAGCTGCTGATTTAAGTTGATAAATATAGACAGAGGCCCATCGTAGCTCAACGAAACACCCTGCTTTCATATCCCTGTGTCGCAGGTGCAATATGAATCGACTGAGTGTGATTTCCTGCTGCTGAGCGAACCCAGAGACGGGGCCTGTGTTGCCTTCAGTTGTGTCTCAGCAGTTTGTGAAGATGTTGTCTGAAAGCCCTCTGTGGGCCGGGCGGCGCCTGATGTTTTTGCTGAGGCGGCTGCAGGGAACACCCTCTCTGACTCAGGGGACTGAAGCAGCAGGAAACATTGGGCTGTGGTATATACAATTGTTCATTTAGTTGTTTTTTTGTTTGAAACCAAATTTAGAATATTTTGCCAATTTTCTGTTCTTGTGGAATGTGTGACCACACTAAAGAAGATTGATTTTTTTATTATGTACAGCTGTTGAAGTTCATATTTATGTAACTCAATGGAACCAAAAGGACTTATGTTTGATTGTTTAAATGACAGACACGTGATACCTTGTTATGTTGTTTTCCTCTTTCACGATCTAGTAAAAGCAATGTATTTGCTCTTGTCTTAAGCGTGACAAGAGGAAATCATTGATGTTTAAGAGTAACAACATGACTATTGGGACCTACCATTAGGCTAATGGCTGTTGAAAGACTTAAGTCTGTTTTTACAATACGTATAATTCTTATATTTTTCAGTCATACAAAAAAATGTTTTCCTCTTCAGGTCCGTCTTATTTTACTATACAATTAAAGAACACAGGGATCAAGAACACTAGTTTATATAGTTGCAGTGAAATTTGATAAATGTGGTAACATTAACCTGGAATGTGACTTTGTGAAAGTATTGCACTCAAGGTCATACAAGCTCCCCTCCATGTGAAACATCTGAATGATTGGAGTCTTTAAGGGGAAATCACTACCGGGGCCATTTTTCAAAGCCTGACATAATAAAAACATTTTTGCTACAAACTGATTTTTGTGCTTATTGGCAACATCTGCAGTACCATGAACTGCACAGTTCAACAATACACCATACAAATGTTTATAGAGTTTAAATGTTCAATTGTGCTGTTATGTTATTAACTAATCTACAATACCGTACAATGTAAGAAAAGTAGATTCAGGGAGCATTTTACGTAACCAGTTGAATTTAGACAAAATTGCATTAATTCAAAGCTTTTTCTGTCACACACAGAAAGCACAGTGTATAGTCCTCCATTGAATCAATCAAGAATCAAGAAGCTTTTCTCGAAGTGGAGCGCAAAGTGTTTGCTGAAGATTATTTCCAATATTATTGATTATTTATCAATTTCTAATTGATAAAAACCCATAAAAAGGATTATTGTCTGATGACGGGAGCCTTTATTTGTGAGATTTATGATCTGTCGGTGCAGTTTGGTCTTTTATAAGGAAATCTAATCTAAGTGTGTTTGGAAAACTTCCAGCATTAACTAAACACAGTTATATGGAAGCAGGGACATGCTTTAGCTTCAAATACAGCTGAGCCATTATGTTCACAAGATCAAATTATGGTATATCATAAAGTAAGTGATTCACATTAAGAGCAGAGTGCAGTCTCTGAGACTTGTAACCTATTCCATTCAAAAACAAGGACTCTGAGAATCCAGTTCAGCTCTACAGTTCACAGCTTTGCTGCCAAACCCTCAGGAATGAGTCCACCACGAAACCCCCACTCCATCGCACTGCTCAAGATTTGTTCAGTTCATTAAGTTCGCTAAAATCCACAGCCCTTATTCACAGGGATAAATCCAGCAGTTTGTGGTAGATTTCTTTACATGGATGCTACCATGAAATGGATGAGCGGCTGTATTGGTTATTTGCTCAGTGATGAATGCTGATCAGCGGAGATGTGGCAAATCTAAGAGAAATGGCCTCTTCAGCTGAACGTCCACACCTCCAGCTCCATCACTCGGAAGTCGTCGGTTTCTGCGAGGCAGCAGTTGTTGAAAGTGTAGCAGGGGCTGCTGCGACCCAGGTACAGATTCTCATCCACCCACAGACCAAAGTGACCACTGCAGGAAATAGATAGATAGACAGTAGTCAAAGATAATACATTACTCAAATGTCTATAGAGTTTTTGTTAATAGATTCCAGATAAAAGAGAGTGAACACATTACCTGCCTCCCCCAATAGCAAAGGAGTCCAAGTCTCCTTTAATAAAGAAGGAGTTCTCTCCAGTCCATCTAAAACACTGCAGGCAGAGTCAATCACCACAAAACTGTTTTAGTGCCACTTCTCAAGCATAAAGTCAGAAAAGAACACCCTTTTTAGCATTTTGACCTTACACAGAAATGCATAATTTGCTATATTTAGCTGATATTTTACAAATTGGCTGAACTAAAGACATAAACATTGGTTGTTAGGGGGCTCACCTTGAAGCGAGGATGCAACATGAAAAGGAAAGTTTCTCCTGTGCCGTAGAACGTCTCACTCGGCCTCAGAGGGTGAGAGAGGAAGGCCCCGAATATCTGATGAAGAAAAGTCCCCAAAGACAGCAACACACACACAATTACTAACATTGAAGGACATTACAAAATCCTTAATTAATACAAGAGGTTATGTATAGTGTGTGTTACCTCATCGAGAGCATCCTTGATGACAATCAGCACAGGGGAGTCCAGTTTGCTGAGTTTCCTGTAGAGGGACTTGAGGCTGGCGCCATGACGGGACGTACTGTAAGTCAGGTGCCAGCTGTAGCCCACTGTCCTCGGGGGGAGCTCCTGACACAGCTGAGAGACATTCAAAGAGGGAGAAGGTTTTTAATCAACAAAGGAGGGGGAGGAAGGAGTTTTAACATGAACAGGGCCAGATACTGACGTCTAAATCTTTGCAGCAATCAGTTCTGAATTTAACTTTGTTGTAGGGGGCAAGTATTTACTAAAAGAAGACTTATCTATAGATCTCTGTGAACGTTAAACAAGATGCACCACACCAACTAGCTCTCACACAGATATGATTTGTTATATATTCACAACTCCTAACTCCCAGCTGTAGCTAAGTGTTAACTGAATGGCTGACTGAACTAACTTAAAAAAACAAGCTTGCTGATCTATGTATTAAGTGAAGGGTCATGTCATAGGGACAGGCTTCACTCTTTATCTACAATAAAAACAGTGTAGAAAAAACCCCACAGATTATTATTTGATTTAAATATGCCTAGAATACTAAAGAAATTGGAAATATTTAATTTGGAAATCATAAAACAACACAATATACTATCACCTCAGACGGATTTGGCATTTACTTTCATTTCTTAAACTGCATTCATTCCTGAAACCTCAAAATAAAATATATATACATTTATATTTTTTTATATGGCCCCCTTAATGGTTACAGCCAGATTAAATTACAGGGACTTCCTGTTTACATAGTTGATTTATTTAGATTGCACTACAGACGTTTCCTAGCAACCAATTTACACATAACTGAAGTCTCAAAGTTCAATTGTAATCAACCCTTTTGAATGTGAAAAATATTTCGAAAATAAATAAATGTTACATTTTTTACTCCACAGGTTTTGATGGGGCAACATGATTTAGAAAATGACTTTATTGAAAAAGCTAGTAGTTAAATAGAAACAAACTGTGTGAAGAGTGTGAGTATACTATGTGTGTGTCGCCCACCTCTTTGACATGTGAAGCTTCTAAAATGTTGCTGCTCGCTACAATATCATTGAGTCCGTCGGGCTCCTTGTCCATGACCAGGGTTGGCTTTTCCCCGCTCTCCTCCATCAACACCATCTACACAAAAAAACATAAATACATTAGAAAAAAGAAGAAGCCATTTTGTCCTAGAACATCAAGAGGCATTTTTTCTTCCTTTGAGCCTGGAGTGACCCACCGTGAGGCAAGTGTTTCCACAAACAAACACACCTGTCCATTTCCATAATTTACACCAGTTAAGTAAAAGATCTCTCCTGTGAGACTGAAATGAGTCTGATTACCTCCCAGTCGTCCCCTGAGCTGCGGTGCCTCTGGAACACATCTTCCTCGTCCCCTTCCTCCTCTTCTTCCTCTCTGTCCTCAATGAGTACAAACTCCTCTTCGTCGCGGTCCGCCTCTTCCTCCCCTCCCTCCAGTATGCACAGGTCTGGTCGAGAGTGAGTCAGGTATGCGCGCAGCTCGTCGGAGCTGCAGGGGGAAACAAAGTCGTCACTCAGACATGTTTAAAGACAAACAAACCTGACAGCTGCATCAACATGGACACAAGAGAGGAGGAGCTTTACATGTACTTTTATGAATGTATTCACAGATGAGTAATTGACTTTCCACTGAGGTAGAGTTGTGATTGTGTTGTACTCATCAGCTTAAGTAAATACAGTACTGTATATAGCAATACAAGATAATAAAAATGCTCCATTACAGAAGTCCTGCATTTAGTAAAGTATAGTATTATTGACAATAACATTTACCAATATTATTGATGAACCAACATAAATGCAGTCATTTAATGTTGTAGCTGGTCAAGGTGGAGCTTATTTTAATAGCTTAATACTGGTGGGGCGTTTCATTTATCGAAATGCATACTTTTTAGTAAATTGATGACATTGAGGAATATTTCCCAATATAAAAACTTCTCACAGTACATTCTACATTTTTATCTAATTTAATATGTCATTGCACACTAAATGTAAATAATATCCCACTTTTATATTGTGTTGTCAGATAGTTTAATATTATTTCTTCACAGTCAACTTTTATATTTTCGCTCTTTTAAAACTATTTTATCTTCTATTTTGAGACGTTTTGTACAATTATTTAGTTCCTATTCTGTTTTAATTCTAATAATGTGCAATACTTGTTTTGCATGCTGCTACAATGAAAACTTTCCCAATTTGGGATTGCTAAAGAATATCTCATCTTAAAAGTCTGACTGAATCCATCAAAACATTTGTGGAATAGTATGTTGTACTAATATTCAGTATCATAAAAAATATAAATATGAAATAATCAAGTATTAAGTTTGAATATATAAAGAATAGTCAAGTAAAGTACTGTGAGTTCTACTGTGTCTCTCAACTGTAATTCTTAATCGATAGAGTTCCCCTTTTAATCTGTTCATCCACATTTCCCTGCCGTTAGTTACTGTACCTCTCTTGTGAAAGTGCAAGCCAAGCATCCCTTTTTTTAGTCGAGCCCAGCTGAAGGCCTCCGGCGCCGTTCTTCTTTCCTGCAGACGGCTGAACCCGCATCCGCACGAACATCAGGCTCCCAGGACTCCCTGCTGAGGACCGCTGAGGCACTGGAAGTAAACAGAGAACAACGGTGCAGAAAATGAAAACGAGAAAAAAACTAAAAACATGTTTTAGACCAGGAGTATCCAAACAACGGCCCGGGGGCCAAATGCAGCCCGCGTTCTGAATCGGCCCTCAGCAAATTAAAAAAGTATAATGGACTATGGCCCAAAAATGAAACTTGTGCTCGTCTTGTATTGTACTTATTAAATATAGATGAAAACAGATATTACACAGTGTTCATGTGTTAATCTTCAAACAAATTCAGTCAATTAAAGTTGAAAACATTTTCTAACAAATCTAAGTAATAACTTATTTTCAAAACACGCTTGAAATAAACCCTTCCTATTTTCTCTTATGATAAGTGTGGGGGAAACTTCTGTAGCAATGGAGAGTCAGGACTCAGAGAGACACGAGGAGAGCTGGAGCTTTGATGGCAAACACTGATGGTTTATTTGGAGTTACGGCTGGAGAATTGACAAGACAGGGGGTGTGTCACGACTCTCACGAGTTGACACAGCGGTTGCCAAACCAATTCTGAAGAACTCTTTCTGCAGCTCGATGTTTTAACTAGTTCTGAGTGTAATAATCAACATTCTTCATCAGTGAGACTAAACTATGGACCCTGAATCTAACTAGAGCTCTCGTCCATATAAAAGAATGTGCGCCAGGGAACCTACGTCCCTGAGCAGTAAACTACCTCATGGCGGCTTGTGCTCTGTCATAGACTGGCAACAACAATGCGCCCAAGCTGCTCCTCCTTAAAAGAGATAGCAGCAATACCCAAGGCCGTAGACCTATGCCATGGGAAAAGAGACAGTGAGAGGAGAAAATGATGAACTGTGTCGAAGGTTGAATACCTAAGCAAATTATTCCCTAACAATTAGCAATCTGAGGCTTCTGTTTTAAGGAATGAACTGCTAACAAAATAAATAAAGGCACGTGGCGCAGTGGATAGGGCGTTGGTGCTCGGATCAGGGGAGCACAGGTTCAAACCCCACTGCAGTCAGCATGTCGTTGTGTTCCTGGGCAAGACACTTCACCCCAAATTCCTCCTGTGGGGATTTCCCACAGTATTGAGTATGTAAGTCACTTTGGATAAAAGCATCTAACAAGTAACATGTAATTTAAAACCCCTTTTGAGAGCTGTGATGTAGGCTGTTGTTTTTCTTAAAGGTTATTCAAGTATTAAGCATAATTTACCTACATTTGATTGATTTTGCTGACTTATAACTTAACTTATGAGGCAATATACCTCACCTCTAGTGAGTGTCCCAGTCCTTCGTATATTTTTCTGTATGTGGCCCTCGGTGAAAAAAGTTTGGACACCCCTGTTTTAGACAGATAATGATTGACGTCCCACCTGCAGTCTGACTCTTCACAGAGGTCTTGCCCGTTTCATTGTTCAGCAGCAGCCCCGTCCTCACTTTACTGGCTGCCTCTGGAGCTCCGCAGCAGAAGGTGGCAGTACTGCTCAGGACGGACACTCCCAGACCTCCATCAGACGACTCACACAGCAACTCTGGAGGGCTGCTATCAAGCTCCCCCTCCACCTTCTTCATGTCTCTGCTCTCCGCCTCCTCCTCCCCAGAAACCTCTTTGGTCAGGCTCAGAGCCAGACTGGACAAATCTGATGGAGCCAAAGACACCAGAGACTCCCCCTTTGGGTTTGGGAAGCCGCCTGCTGGGACTTTAGTGGTTTTCAATTTCTGGAACATTTTCTTTCCTTTTCTCCTATTGAAAAAATACAAATAAAAAATGCTTTGATTGACTTTTTTATGTAATGTGAGTCAGTGGGTGTAGGACGACTGAATCATTGCTGACCTCTGCTGGGACGTACTGAAGTGAACATGAGAGATGTCCGAGAAAAAGGAGACAGATGCCAGATTGTCAACAGAGCAGGACAGAAGGTATTCCTCACAGCCGTGTTCCTTCACCAGAGCGTGTGTCTTACACGGGTCAAAGAAGATTTTATTAGCTGTCACCAGCAGGATACCTGACACCACACCCTGACAGAGAGAGAAGGTGCTGATGTTAGCCCACAGATGTCTACAGGTGTAGAGAACAGAGATCAGAGTGAAGTGTTGTTCACACCCACCTTACGGTCTGTGATGTGGCGGCAGAACAGTTTGAGGTACCTCATGGTCTCCGGTCCCTCCGCCTGGCAACACTCTGGAGGCAGAGCCAATAAGCAGAGCTGTCCGTCAGGCATCGGCACCGCCTCCACATCCTGTCAGCATCACACATGTTATCAGCATCGACAACAAAATGTAATTCATGGAGGCAGAATGATTAATCTGCAACAATTTAGAAATTAAGTAAGCATTTCAGAAATGTTTAAGATGAAATTGTGAATATTTACCGGATCAAGCATTAACAAATGTAGATATTCACAATTATTTTTTGCTTTTTATTGTAATAGGCTGAATATAAGTTGTAGACTGTTGGTCGGCAATTTAAATTTAAATAAATTAACCTGGGAAATTGTGAAGCAGCATATTATAAATTAATTTAAAAGAATATAGAAAACTAAAGCTTAACTCAACTTTATTGTAATTCTGTAATTGTATTGCTAAACATACCATTTTCAAGTTTTAGAGTTTCAAGCTTGCTCGCTGCTGTAATTTTCTGAATCAAATTCAGTCTTCGCTCAGCGCTGCATTGTTTTCATGACTGTGTTTTGTTTTGTTACTTGTTTCCATGGTAACATGTTCTTTTTATTTTATCCATAATAAAGTCTCCTCGGCTCATTTTTTCTTTGTCATCGCTACTGACTGAATGATAACTGGAAAAGAATACATAATGATCCCATTAATGTCATACAATCTGTTAACTACAAATGTGAATCTGTTTTCACTGCTATTGATGACTCTCTTTTTATTAAATACAAATAAATAGCAACTGCAGCTGTTAAGTAAATTCAGCAGAGTCAAAACTACAATATATTCCTCTGAAATGTAGTTGAAGTGAGTCATGCATGAGTTCAGCGACTTAATGCACACACCTTCTGAACCAGCTTTCTGTTGTTTATTTGATTGTGGCATGGAACAAATGTATAACACACATGTTACAGTAACAAAAACAGTAACAAAAAAGGAAAGAAAGCTTGTGGACCAAAGGATGAGGTTTAAATTAAACCATAGTCATTCAGTTATTTAAAAGAACCGTCCATCTTATCATTATTAGCTTAAATGTACAGTACTTGAGTTAAATGTACTAGTGCTTTTCCAACACAGATTTTAACCTACAGTAAAATATGTGTAATTAAATATTATAAAAATATTCCAAAACATGCAGTAAAGGAAGTTTTTTTCCTACCAGTAGTTTGTCATATTCAGCCTCTGGGGAGGGGGGCTGGGGTAGAGCAGCGAGTGTTTCCAAAGAGACCAGATCAGCCTCTTCCTCCCGCTTCAGTTTAGGATCAGAGTCCAGTTCTGGTTGAGAGGATCCTTGACCGGTGGAAGTGTTTTTTCCCGCCGGTACGACAAGCTGCTTCAGAATGGACGCCATGATAAGAATAGCTCTGTCATTGAAATGGATACAACCTGCTAACCCAGTGACTACTTCCTCTTTCTACAGGCCTGTATTTCCATATTTGTCTGTTTGTAGTCGCATCTAAGCTCCATGTCACACATGACTCAAGGGTTGTGGGTGAAGCGCTGAAGGCATTTTATTGGCATTTTCCGTTTGCTTAAAGGTTAGTATTGGTGGGGAGGTATTTAAGCCTGAGAAGGGTTAAAGATAGAGCAACACACTTCTTGTCTAAAGCCAAACTTGCAGCTAAAGTCATCAGGCAGACAAGGGAAATATTGTGTTTTGCAAATATTGTCAACATCATTAAAAAAAAAATGGGGAAGCAAGCAACACACTCATCAAGTGTTCATATTATGCATTGAGAGGGATGGAAATGACACCTTCAGGGGCCAACAGTTTACTCTTACCTCTCTAGTGATGAGCGTAGCAGAGGAAGAGGGTACATTTGAAGATTTGTCCATTTTTCCCTCTTCTGCTGAGGAGGATTTTTTACAGTTGAACTGTGACGAGATGCTGAACACCGTGTCCCCAGGGAGACCCTGAAACACAAAAGCAATAAAGTGTTCAGTAGGGGTTAAAATCTGATCAAACATCCAATCTAATTAAGTTGTTTATTCTTACATAAGATGGTTTTGCGTCCATCTTCATGCAATAAGTAGCCTCAGTAATACATCTTTCAGGTGTGCAGAAGCACATTACATTGAAGATCTCTTCTAACTTCTACTTTAATATAATTATGGACCCACTGCTATTTATTGTGCTGATCATACTCAGTGTATTCACTCTAAATCAACTCCCATCCAAGGTTTGGACGGGAACTTATGAATCAATATCTAAAAGTGGAAGAGTTGAAGAGTTTAAACAGTAGGAGTGAAGCATCAGATCCACAACTATCATCCACTGACAGATGGATCCATTGACCTAAATTAGATCACTCTCGCATGACAGATTATGTGACCACAGAAACATCGTCTTTATGTGGCTGTGCGTACAGTATGTGTCTGGAGCTCTGTGTGTGCTTTTCTAGGCATAAACTGTGTGTGTGAGTGTTACTCCATGTACTAATGATCCTTTACAAAAAATGTATTCCTCGACCACAAACAAACACGAGTGTTCAATAGTTTTAAAAAAGCAGGATGTGCAGCAAAAAGCTCTGCTCTCAATTTCAACATGCACTAAACACAAAATATAAGAACCTCAATAAAATCATCTCAACAAAACCTAGAAAATAAGCTTCAAAAGAAAGGAAAAGAAAAAGACCATCATGACATTATCATAGCAAATCAGACTGGATAACTTAGTAATAAGTACTGACGCCCCCTTTCCAGATTCATGATAATACAGAGACTTACACAGAAGAAAATCAACACTTGTTTTCATATTTAAAATGTCAGCAGCAAAATAAAAACAACTAGCGTACAAATACCTTTGAATAAAAATCCGAAGATACATTCCTCTGGCTGTATTTGTTGTAGAGGCTCTGAAAAAGACCTTGTTTCCCCATGGCGTCCGTGAACAGCTCTGACAGCTCCCACACTCACATATGAACCTTGGACGCTCTTTATCCAACTCTTTTATGACTATGAAACCAATTACCGACTGCAAAATGCTGGCTCTAACATACCTAATCAGAGAAAAGATGCAGCAATAAATCCTATATCTTTCTCTCACTTCCCAACTTCTTCTCTTACTTGTTCCGAAAAGCTCAGTTTCTAAAATTAAGTTTAAAAAGTAAAAAACAAGTGACTCACCCTGCTGCTTGTGCTGTCACCTGATGGTCCGCTCATATGCTCTTGCTTCACTGCAGTATTGTTAAGGTCCCATGCAGTCCCTGCGAGAGAAAAATACAATTCTGTCATGCTCCATTACAAAATGATGCTTATCAACACCATTTCTTTACAGGTTTATTACACCATAACTCACATGTCTGCCTTTCTACTCTGTATGAAAATAACTATGCAAAAACATGCCAACGAACTCAGCATGAGAATTCTAAAATGTAAATCCCACTACACAGTTTGCATCTACTTAATGCAAACTGCCTGCTCCCTGTCTAGCATATCAAACTCTGCACCTTGCAGGTAGTACTGCCGCAGTTTGGGGTTTCTGATGTGGGGGGTGTGGTTGAGAGGCCGGCCCACAGTGGGCTGGAGCGGACGCTGGCTGCTGGCCGCAGGCTCCTGCATCACACGGGCCTGAGGCTGATTCTCCCAGGGACGCTTAGCGAACTGTGGAGGCTGAGAGACGCCAGGAGGAAGCTTGGAACCCAGCCTGAAAGAAAGCAGAGGAAAAACTGATAAAATCAAGCTATATTTAGGTAGGTTACGCATTTACACACACACACAGCTGGAATGTATACTAAAAAACAATGAGGACTTGTCATTACTAAGAGTGTTCTGTTTGACAGTATATATTTTAAAAGTCCCATAAGTGAGTCTTGATTTATTTGTGACGAAAATATAAACTCTACTCATTTACTTATGCACTCTCAGTTAATGAGGTCATCAGGTGATATTTTGTAGTGAAATCGAACTGAATTAGTGACCAACTAATGTATTTCTAGCACAGTTGTGAACCATAACATTTATTTCATTCCATTAAAATCCCCATATGATTTCTTTTTAATCCCATGGCAGTAATATGGTATGATTTACGCATTTATTCACTATCTATAAAGGAGAAATAAGATTTCTTCATTAATTACATCATCTCCGCAGTCTTTGCTACAGGTTCAAAATCACAAGGGGATGTTTATTATACATTATTTTAGTGATGAACTGGTTGAGTATTACATCAATTCATCAATTATTGGTTGGTCTATAAAATAAAACATTCTTTTTATTGGTGAAAACTTTTTTAACACAATAGCAATTGCTTGTTTTGTCTAACAAACAGTGAAAACCCAAAACATTTAGTATCAAAACAGAGAAAAAACATCAAAATGCACACATTTTGATAGGCAACATAATCCATATCAAACACATCTCACAGTCTTCATTCAAATGCTTAGATAAACTATTGGAGAGATTACTTCCGTGCATAAACTGCTCATTAGGAATGAATGCTTATTCTTAAAAATTAACTCCATTTCAAGTTGTATTTTCCCTTTGACAGCAGGGCTACAAGGATTAGTCAGTTAGAGTATGTGTAGTGTGAATAACTGTATAGGGCAGCGTTCACAGTCTGATCAGAGTTATTTATAAGGGGAGTGGGAGTTGTCTGCATGATGGCTTGTTGCTGTCGTAGCTCTCACCCACATGATGGTTTTTGATTGAGCGTGGATTCCTTCAGTGACAGTGGATGAAACCAGTTTATGGGAATGTGGATTCTTTGCTAACAAAGCATTCCTGTTTGCATTGTAGTCTGACATGACACATGCTTAGTGTTAATCTGGACATATTCTCCCTCTTATTCAAATAATGAAGATCAGAATTGTAATGTGCTTGAATCTAAGAAGCACAATCCAGCCAAACACGTCACATGTCTACTCAAGTGTTTTCCCTTTTTTTCTTCTCCTTCCAGTAATCCACATGTTTACAGGCCTGACCTGGTCTTGACGTTGCCAAAGTAGCTGGTCCTGGTCTTGTCCCTCTGGGGCTCGCGGTCCATGGTTCCCAGAGTCTCAGGCCTCCTTACAGACTGAGCCATTTTCTTCTTCTTTAGTATGAGGCTGGCAGTGGTAGCAGAGGGATGAGCGGATCAGCTGTCATCCTTCCTCCTCCTTTTATTCCCCTTGCCTACCATTTGCCCCAGTTACACCTACACAAGACAGGACGTCATATGATCTGGGCTGATTTTACAAACATCTAGGCAGAGGGAGAGAGAAGCAACGGTTAAACTTCTACATGCACCAACATGACACCATAAGGAAGAGAGCTAGATATTTGCGGAGTAATGAAGTCAGGATGCAAATGAATCAATATACATACATATAAGTGTGTATGTAAACAACCAATGTGTCTGTTTCATGCTCCAATGTGTCAGATCAGAATCAGATGGGGTACAGTTTGCACTCCCACAATATCTTAATCATTCTATAATCATGTAATGTATTATATGATCAAACATCAATATGATGCAGGTTCTGCATTTTAGTATTTACTCTGCAAAGCTGCATTCAGGCATGAGTAACGCAATGATAATATCAACACATAGGAATGCATCTTAGTACATTCCTGCAAAACTTAATTCGGGGACTCAGTCGGCATTACAATGAGATTAGCCTATTTAAGGCATCCTAATATGATCCCTATGGCCATGTCATCGATCAAAAACAATGATCACAATGTGCTTCCTGTAAATGCTAGGCGTGAAATAACCACTGTGGAGGAAGTAAGCATTGGAGTCGACATTACAGGATGACCGAGACTGCTGCTATGGTAGAGAACAGCAGCAGCTCAAAAGAGATGGCAGCATCATGTGAAAAGTATATTTACTGACCTGTGTCTATCCCAGGGATGGGGACGGGTGGCGGTCATGTGAGCGCGCGCCCTCATTGCAGTGTTATGATATCACTGCAGACAACAGTGACTAGTTAATTATTCAAGCCTCGCCCACTGCTTACAGGCCGTCGCGACGATTGTCAAGACAGTAATCCTCCCGCCGGCTGAGAGCAGGGATGTATTAGCTGAGAGCAGCGAATGCGAAAGTAAAGGGACTGATTCATCTTGTGTTTTCAAACAGATACAGATCTCCTTAGGGATCAAGAAGAACTGATATTGTCTGTCTCGTTTTTTCTGTGTAATTGTTTAAATGTTTGTCTTGTCCCATTTTATCTGCAAACAATTGTATATTTTATATAGCACATGGTGATTTAAAGTTATTCATCTGCATGCAGAACCCAACATTTCTTTAGAGTTTCCATATTTTCTGAAGCATTTTACAGGCTAATTGTCGCTGAGGATTAGCATAAAAAAACATAGCAAGAGGATCACACTTGTACATTGTCCCCTTATATATTAAAGCTGCATACCAATTATGTTCATTAATGATTATGCTGGAATCAGAGAATATTGATTCACTGATTAAGTTTATCATGATGTCTGAGGTAGTACTCTGTACTCTGCACTGCTTGCCTCCACCTCAAGAGGGCGCTCTTGTACAAGGAAGCTTACAAGGAAGCTCCCGGTGCTCAAGCCAATCAAATTACAGGAAAGGGAGGCACAGGTTTCCGGCCTAATACGCGAAAACAACTCAGGTCTGAAAGACGAAGAGGAGAAGCTGCTGCTCGTAAATAATTCAACTGCGCCGCTTTCCGAGGTACAGTCATCATCTACCGTGAGTTTTGCACTTGCTCTGTTAATTGCATTTTGTAAGGAAAAGAGAAATAGTGAAATATGGCGGTGTTACTCTACCGTTGAGGGTCAACCAGGGGGCCGTTATTGGAGATGCTAAAGCTAACTGACGGTCACTGTCTGTTTTGCTCATGGATGTATAGGTTTTGCTCCCTGGCCAATTATGAACTGAACCAAGCTTTACAAATCACTTTAAAATAATATTTCTGTCTTCCACTGTGTTTCATAAACGGTGACGGATATAGCAAACTGTAACCACATAATCAACACTGTGTAGCAAACCTAGCCTAGCTGTCTAAAATGTCAGCTGTTAGTTAGCTAACGGCTAGATATATTAGCACTGATGATAGTAACTCTGCTCCTTCTTGTGTTGATGTCATCACGGTAACATTATTAAGTCGTACAAGCATTATCTAGCCTTTTACCGCCAAACCCTTCAATATGCGTTTATATATCATTTATTTGTTTGTGACAATTGCGGAGTGTTCGTACGTAATTATACCATAATAAAAACCGATTTTTCTTTAAATGTTTTGACAGTTCAATATTTATTTCCATTTGAAGAGAACAGTGCCTGAACGGGGACAATCTACACTATAATAAAACAGTTCAGTGTTTATGCCCCCTGTTTGGATATGTACCTTTTCCCCCAGCTGAGATCTGACCTTTTAAAGATAAATGTTTGCCATTCTTTTTTTATTTGGTCTTGTTTGCCTGTTGTGTAGCTTAACGTTACATATGTATTTTTCTAGTATGAATACCCTACCCTATTCCTGCTTTAAACATAATGATATCAGCAAAACTACCCTTTAAAACATATGTATTGAATTATACATTGTTAGTTGTGCCAAAAAGTATTTAAATAATCACCCAATAATACAGATTACAATTGTATACAAAAAAGTCTGAACTGTGCCCACCTCATTCATTTGACTAAAGGCTATGGAAACGTTTCTTGTCCAGAGAATCAATCACAACAATTATATAACTTTTGTGCCACTTTATCTTTGTGTTGGTGGGAGTATTAATGCAGTGTTGTTCTTCTGCTTGTCTCTTAACAGAAGTATTCCCTCATTTATATTCCAAGAGTTGGTGGCTACACTGACATGGCATCTGTCCACTAAACTGCTCTGTCTTCGGCCACTGCGAGCACCAACCATTGGTGTGCAACCACCATCACCATGGAAACAGACACAGTAAGTTTACATCCTCGCTTATTTCTTTATTAAACGCCATTGGACTTAACACTGCATTTCTCTTTCATCACTGTGCACAGGTGCAAACAAGTCAGACAAGTATAATAACAGGGTTTTTCTATGATATCCTCCACAGGAAGTTATTCCTATCTGGCAGAATAAGCCTCATGGATCCGCCCGCAGTTTTGTGAGAAAAATAGGCTCCACTCTTCCACTCAGGCCTCCACAAAGGGCATGTTTCCAGGTAAATATATGATCCTTTCACTCTGTATGTAATTATATATCTCTTTAGTATGTAATGTATGGTCCTCTATTCATTGCAATATAAATGTTTTAATATATAACATTAGCTTATGTCCTTGTGCTTTAGGAACTCCCGGGTCTGCCGCCTCTTCGGCCTATTCGAGGCCCGATGGTTCCTACCTTGGCAGACATAGCCTGGATTGCCGCAGATGAAGAAGAGACTTATGCCAGAGTGCGGTAAATATCCTGTCCCACCCTAAGAGACAACCACTAAGGTTATGGAGTTGTGCCAAGCTACTCATGTATAACTGCATTATCATGCACTCTCTGTGCTTCCATCATGTGCACAAAAGCAGCCCAAAGAAAGAACGAGATTCAATGTCATAATGGCTTCTTTTTTTTTAACACTCAGGTTATTGCGCCGTTTTTGTATTACTATAATGAACAGCGGTACGTTAGGTGCATTCTTTATCACCATCATGTTATAGTGATACAGTTAGTTTATTTGTTCAATACAGCCTATATCGAGCACATACATTTGTATGCATTGATGTTGAAGCAGCCCCATGAGCAGCTCAGAGATAACTCTTTCTTCATATTTGTTGTGTATTCATTCAAGCGGGTCAAAGTTACTAAGCACTTCACATTTTATTAATCGGCCTAGTTTTACCTTACCAGTGCAGTGGTAAGGTAATCTGTAGAAAAGCACCGTATTTAGGTCAGCCTTCACAGTAAGGCTACATTCAATGTTGTAAAATCATTCAAATGCGGAAATGTTGTCATCGGCAGGCCATCACGTGGTTTCCGAGTATAACCGAGTGACACGAGCAGATTTCGGTCGAGACCGGCGGAAAGTTTGTCTCAAAACTCTGTGTGTGTAAAAAGACGATCCACAAGCAGAGATTTGAGATCCACAAGCGCATTTTTGGTCGACAAATACAAAATGGATTCACCTTGCCTGATCGAAAGTTGTCAATGTTAAAGAGATATTCACAAATTCCTTTTGTTTATTTGTAAATTAATTATAGTATTCACAGATCTTTTTTTTTATTTGTGACTTACATTTGCACATTTATTTGTGAGTTTGGAAATCTTTTAAATGCATTTGTGGATGGTGTTTTACATTTACAAATCACATATTTACACACAAATTATCTTTATGTTCACACAAATATTCAAGAGACAAATCTAAGCCCATCGACAGGTGTTGATTCAGCCCTATGGTTAAACTGGCAGGCACAGAGAAACATCAGATGTCATCCAGCACACTCAATAAAATAAATATCACTTTCCAGTAACAATGATCGCCCACTCTTCTCTTTTCAGGAGTGACTCTCGTCCTCTGAAACACGAATGGCGGCCCACGCCTCTCCTGGTGCTCCACAGGAACTCATCCGTACCTAACTTCCGCCGCGAGGGTAAGAGGTTGGAGGGGCTCAGGAAGCCTGGGGTGACGGCGATGAACCGTACGACCGCCCTGCAGGACGAGCTCAGCAGACTCCGCTCACAGATCGCCAAGATTGTGTCAAGTGACTCTGGTAGGTTACCAAAGTCAAAATGAAAGTGTACAGAATATACACCAGTGTAGAGTTTGGACTTATGATTTCAATATTATATAAACATTGATGGAGACAACTGGTTACACTTGACAATCCTTAGTTTCTACAGACAAGGATTTATAACGCTGCCCAGAACATTGGGGACTGATCAGATTGCTTTGTGTGTCACTGATGTACTGTCTCCATGTGACGCTGATCCCTTTGTTGCCAAGTCAGCTGGCCCGAGTCTCCTTAAGCTCTTTGATGCTAAGATATCTTGGCATCAGTTTGTAGGTCAGTGGCTATTGTGTGTCACTCGTTTAACCCTTTACCTGGGTTATCAAGAGAAAGTGTCACATATTCACATATTTGAAGCGTACTTGAAAAAAACTATTGTTTAGCCAGCTTTCTTAATTCTGTTAATATTTTACTCAGATAGTCCATGTCTTTATGCTCAGTGAAAGTGTCATGGGTTTCCCAACAATGATATTGTTAAGCTGTGAGGTTGGTAGAGTGATACTAGAAGCATCCGGGGAAGGGTTACAACAATGAACGCTTTCCTCGTAAGAAATGATAACACTGCTTGGGGAACGGAATTGATTGATTGTAATTTGGAGTAGAGCCACTGAAAACAACTCTAGCATACTTATATACAACATTCAAATCAAGTGAAAAGTGGTACAAGTTGCCCTGTTATTTATCATAGTCAAACTTCCTCTTCTTTTGTTAACAGGCTCCAACCCCCTGACCCCCGACCTGCTCTCCCCAGACGACACCAGTATGAGCTTCTCCATGGCGCCTTTCGAGGCGGCGCCCTACCAGCCGGCCGCCGCGGCTGCCGCTTCCTTTGTGATCAGTGATGTCACAGAGGAGGATGAAGAGGAAGATGAGGAAGAGGAAGATGTGATCTCTGTAGTGTCAGAGCTTGTCCCCGACCCTCTGCCGCCTGTTTCCATGACGGCATCAGCGACCTTTGACCTGGACAGACCGAGCATGGATTTCCGGGAGGCAGAGGAGGATACAGTGTCGCTTTCAAAGTCCACCAGCTTTGCTGATGTTATGGACATCCTGAAGGACATGAACCGCATGAAGATGAGCAAAGAAAGGTAAGAGTTGACGGACCCCTTACCAGCCCCGATAACACCTTTGGGGATTTTGTTGTCAGAGCATCTGATGTATCCATGGCTGTGGACAACAAAAGACAATTAGCTCAAACTTGCTTTAACAAATATTGCATCCACTGTAACTTAAACAATGTACTAATCAATTAAGGGATTGTTATAAAATATTGATTAATTGTTCAACCCTTTTATTTTTCATGTGTCTTATAAGTCATAGGAAAGACTAATAGACCTACACTAAGTCATTTTTACCAAACATATATTAAACTGGTATCAATTTTCCCATCTAACTGTTTGGAAGCCATATTTACTAAAATGCTGAACTGTACTTCTAAACCTATTGATATGCTAATATTTCTACATGACGTGAAATAACAGTGTAACCTCTCATACGTGTTTCTATTCTGTTGGGTGTGCAGGTACAACAGAGGCTGTACGTCCCTCAGGGAGGAGAACTCGGCCTCTCTTATTTCAGAAGCTCTGAGGAAAAAGTTTGTCCTAAAAGAAGAAGATACCAACGCTTTGAAACGGAAGTAGTCTGATCACATGTTTATCGTCAATACCCGATCCTGCTGCTCCATGTAAGTCAGAATAGGATTGTGGAGTAATTTGTTTTTTATATTTTGTCCAATGAGACCTTGAAGTCATGTGATGTGAGGTTATCATTGGTTATGTATTCAGTGGCAAAATGTTTAAGCTCACTTGTGGGTTCTTAGTTTGTGTTTTTTGTTTTCTCTCCCTTGTTATTTGTAGGCCTTTGCCTGTGGAATATGTACCAATGGATCCACAACCTCTCCTCAGACCCAAGGCAATAGCTGTCTGCCAGAGCTAGAACAAAACTGACACTTGGTCCCAGACATTGAAAACCAAATGTGAGCCTCACAGTGCTGCCGTAGTGTAAGGGGTATCTAAAACACTCTTGTTAGTAGTAATCGGTTTCAGCACTGCGCTGCATAATTGCCTCCAGTTTATTTCTCTCTGAATAAATTGGCTTTTACATTTATTTTCCAACAGGCTGCTGCCTGGAAACTTTCTCTGTGTTCAGGCTGTATTGATTTTAGTTTCTTTCTTGCTTTTATTACGCTATAGCTCATGGTCCAACCCGCTAAAAAGAATCCTTGGTTCCTTTTGTGTTTTCTACAGAAGAAATGCAAGAAAATGGTTTCATTTCAGTTGTGTCAAGAAGTCCTTTAACATACTTGAAAATACTTAATGCACAAACCAAGCTGATCTATTGTACATGCAGATATGTACTGTATCTTATCACAGTGTGTGTGTGTGGAAAATACAACTCCAGATCTTTGCTGTTCACATTTTCACAACAGTGCACAGCATAAACAGTGTGTTCCACTGAGCCTTGTATCTTCTTGTTTGTGATTTACATTTGGATTGATAGTCACTGAATCCCACAACACTGATTTTAAAACCCAAAATGACAGGATAGCTGATCATATCGGTTGAACTTTGTGGTGTAAAATTATAGTGACAGTGAAATGTGAACCTTTCATTGTTTGGGTTTCAAATACGGTCACTGAGGTGCAAGCATGTTCAGGACTTTTTAGACACATTTCCCCCGGTGTTTTTGTATACTAACTAAAACCCCTTATAATGATGCAACATTAAAGAGGTGATCTGAGTTTGGGCAAAGACAAACAAGCTATAGTAAGAGGGCTTCTACATAATTCTGTATGCAGTTGGAAAAAGCCATGGCTAAAATGCTTGTGTGGGTCATGATGATGAATATTCTGGTTGACTCTTTAACACACATCTATTGCCTTTTTTTCCGAAGCTTGCTTTTATTCCCATATTAGTCAAAGTGCCATGGGTTTGCTTTTCTCAGCCCATCACTCATTGCCTGCTATTTCCTGAATGTGCCCCCCCCCCCTCCCCATCCTCTTCTTTCCAACTTGTGTGTTTTTAATATTGCAAACATACCAGTTGTGTGGTTATGCGGAATGATGTTTGTTTAAAAATAACCCCTCACAAGAAATGACGTGCTGTTATGTCTGTTTACCTCCTCACGTCACTCCGACTCTGTTTTCTTTCACATTTATGCCTATTTACTTGGGAGTCCTTTAGTGTAGCTTTGAAGTTTGAAAAATTGAGCTTTGTAAAGATTGAAACAAGAATGTGCCCATATGTGTGTCGCTGTATGCAATGGAGTCAAAGTATATTGTCTTGCTTGGCCTTCATCTTTGATCCTTTTTTAATTTCCTCATTTGACAAACTGTTGAACATCTAGCTGAGAAAATGGAGATATGCTAGTTTAAATATATCGTGTGTCTGTACTTAAGATGTTGAACCTTACACAGCTTAGTCTGCCAAACGCTTCACTTGTCCTGGTAATCAGTTAACAGAGAATTTAGTTAATGAGGATTTTCCAAAGGGAATTTATTGACTTTGTTTCTCTTGTTTGTCAAGGGTTTCTAACCATTGTACCTCTATGTAGGGTTGAGCCCACCACCGACGTGTTTATGTTTATCTTTTGTCATGTTAGGACTTGTAAATAAAGATTGGCTGATGTTTTGAAACTAACTGTTTTTATTTGATCTGTGAACAGTCCACTTGGTCTTGCAGTGTCAAGTATCACCACATGGGGGCAGCGCATGTGAACAAAGTAAGACTTGTTAGTTTTATGACTGAGCAATTTTTAGATTTACACCCTAAGACTTTTGAAATGTATCACACACACTTCTATACAGATGGAGCTGATTTCAACACTGGTGGATCAATTAATGTATATATTAATGAGAATTACATATATATATGTAATAAAATCAGAATGTGTAAAATAACTACTAGAGGTTATTTAAAACAGAGTAAAAACAATCACAATGAAAATACTAAATGAATAACAATGATAATGCACTTCCATCACTAAACCTTTGACTTTTATCCTTTTTATGGATGTTAATGTGCCTGGAAATTGAACAACTGCTGTATGAAACCTCAGCGACAACATGAAGTACATTTTCACTTGGTCAAACCACGGGGGCCTGCGCTTGTGTGTCTGTAATTTCGAGGATTATTGTTAACCCACATTTCCATCTCCACTTCCTGTTCAATCCCGAGATGATCCGGCCCCTCAGCGAGTCAGTCTATTTTCTGTTACAGTCCTTGGCCTACTTTGTCCCGCTTTACCTTCAATAATGGACTTTCTACCTATTTGAACACAGGGAGATGTCTGTAGAGAGCTCATTTAATAGGGCTCAGTCAGAATTAGGCTCCTATAAATACAGGCCTTTATTTATAAGTGACATTGGCACATTTTCCTCACTGCATGTCTTTTGAAAACAATTTTAAAGCAGGTTAGTAGGACACGTGAATGGACAGTTACTGAAGTTTCCCTGGAGCTTTAGAATTGCCTTTCACAACAGCATGACTATTAGTTTTCTGTGAATAATGTGAACATGGAAAAAAGGATGACTTTGTTTTGGTCTGGACCATAGAATATAAAATAGATCGGGACTAAAGTTGTGTTACTATCCGTAGAGCTACAATGTAAGCATGTTGCTCAAACATTCATCCTTTCTCTGGTTGTATCTCTGTGTGAACAATTCAAATGGAAACACAATTTAATAGGCTTATTTAGGACTAAAAACACTAACTTTATGCTTGAACTTGATTTCTTTTCTCACAAGTATTTGAGATTAACTTTGGGACTTTCAAGTCATCCACTTTGTCCTACCTGCAGATGTGTGTCTCCATTTGTCTCCCGTAGTCTGTCCAGCTTCACACCCACCACATGAGGAGAGAGCTCCAGCCAAGTTCCCACTGACTCAGTGATAAGTGGCAGTGAAGCAGCTAACACGCCAACAGGTGGAGTATCAGTCATACTGACTGGTCAGCGTGGGTCCTCCTCCATCTCCCTGAGCCTCAGAGCTTGTTATCAATGTCTCCTTATGTTGCTGCAAGCTCTTCATAAGTAGAACCGTTTCTGGACACAGAACATTCCCTCCATTATCCTTGATGTTTTCCAAAGTGGCCAAGAGGCGAATAGGTTTCAAGCCCATTTATCACTTTCAGGGACAATACAATCAGACAAATTGCTTTTTGTTTTCCCACTCTTGAGAGGTTTTTGAAATGTTACCTTCAACAGAAACATTGGTTTGATTAATCTGTCGGACCATCCCGTCGAGCACCGCTGCAGCAGGGGGGGTTATAGGGGAGCACAGATCAATATGTCAGTCATAGAGCAGGTGTTACAGAAAACTTGTCACAGTGGGTATTATTTATGATCATCCTTCTGGGAGTGACAGGAAATGCCTTCATTCACGCGGTTAACATTTCAAAGTGCTGCAGTCCCAGTTTAATAATGTTGGAAGTGCAGGGAAATGGACAAAGTGTTATCTTGGAAATACAAATGTGTTTTCCCAACATTACACTTTTTAGATAGCAGAAAGCAATTGAATCACCAGTGAAATATTGTCAGACAGAATTCTAACCCTTACCCTAACGCCTGAGAAAGAAAACAATTTGAAGGCCTTTTAAGGATTCAATGTTGTTTCATAACAATGACAATGATGAATGCTGATTCACCCATCATCTAAAAGGGATTTCATTTGAGTGGGTATGTATTGAATGTTACGCTAATTAACTTGCCTTTGAAAATCTGACTTTTATTTGTATTTGTTTGAATTATATTTGCCATTACCTTCCAAATATGACTTACTGCTAATTAATCAAACAAGTAGCATGGGTCCCAGTGAAGGAGTGCTTTATTTAAAATAAACATGTCCATACACATCCCTGAAATGGTTTTACTTGGCTGGAAACTTGGCAGCATTGCACTGTGACAATATCTATTAATAAACGCATGAAACATTTTAAAATAAAAATATGTTTTATTCAACAATCTGTGACATGTGGATTTTTCAACCTTATGTACATCCACTCTGACCGTATCACAATGTTTACCTAACACATTTAGCTTTCAGGGTTAATTTTTAACACAGGAGTTTAGCAAATAGTTTCCTTTGTGTGGTTATGAAGTTGTAAAATTGTTCTGCATGCAGTTTTAAAGTGAATGGCCTTCAACTTCGGAAAAAGCAGTGGAAATACCAGAGGCAGAGTACACTGCATCATGATCTTTAAAACACAAGTCTGTCTTCCTCATTATCCTCATGAAAGCCACGAGCTACCCGTTCACCCAAATACTGTCAAATACCTCCTCTTTATTCGACAGAAAAAAACAATGTTTACCAAACAGTAGATATGTAGACTGCTGCAATATGTTTAGTGTTCACAGCTAAATGGGCCTGTGTCTCTCCACAAGCACAAAACACATCAATTGTTTCCGAAATAGCGTGACAATTTCTAGAACGTATAAACAGCTTTTTTGTGTGTTTGTCTGCGTGTTGAGTTTTAGTGTCATCTCCCATGTTGTATCGTAGCAACAACTAGCTAAAGGAGTGGATGACAAGGGTCTGGGGGAAGACAAGCGATGCATCTGCTGCTTCCACTGACCCTCCCCCAGTGTCACCCACGCATCCTCCCGCGTCACAGAGACACAAAACTAACACTTATGACTCACAACAGGAACAGCTACACAAGAGCGGCTGCAGCTCCACCGGGTTGTTTCTATTTCTGGGCCTTTGTAGTGTTTCTGTCTATAAGTGGGTTGCCCTCTCCCCATGATTGCTTTGTGATGCAAAGTAAATTGCGTCGATAAGTGGAAGTGTTGAGGGCACTTGATGGCAGGAAACACAAGAGTGGTATCTTCTCATCTAACCATCGGTGTGAAAGTGGCCAACAATTTTGCTCTGAAATGTCAAAATACAGTATTTTCTGCAAGTAGGATAGGAGAAGTAGTAATTGTATAAAGGAAGTCATTAAGATGTCAATTATGACGAGGGATTACAGATTAACCTGATGGGATCTTCATTAGGACTCAACAGCACCGGAGTATCTGGGCTGTGTTAAAATCCATCATTTCATTCTGTTAATTGGAGCAAGTCATCGTCATGGCCTTGTTTCAGACTGCCAGCTTCTTTTTTAATATACGGTAAATTGAGGGAAAGAAAAGTGATCGTAGGTTCCCAGGGAAAGCGACACATAGCAAAGATTCCCTTTCTCCTTTTCTCTTCTTTTTCTCTTCTCACTTTTGATATTAAATTGATAAGAGCCTAATTGTGAGTCCAGATGGTAGCCTAGTATTATGGCCTGTGTGGTGGCTATTCATAAATGATGCCGTTTGTGTTGGAGAAAATTCAATGACAAAGGCCAAAATACTCTCCAACTACTCTACATACATTTGTGAAACACTATTAAGCCATTTATAGTATTTTTCACTTTCCCAGGAGATTGAATAAACAACTACACAAGCTGATAATTCATAGTTTATATAAACATTTGAACGTTTACGGCCAATTAACACAAATATGACCAAAGATCTTGAGAGCCATGAGCAAAATGTCTCCAGGGAAAGATGAACCTGCTGGAGGGCCCAAAGGAAGAATTACCTTCTTTTGTGAAACACACAACATTTCAGTTTATTATGCTTTAAATATTAACATCCAAATCTGTTGATTTAAATAAACATAATTGCTAGAAGACATCATGAGGCCTTTAGGGCCGATGCCCTCTTTGCCTTAAAAAAAAAAGCCTTTCTAAATGTTATGGTATGGAAGGTGGTGCTTAAAAGGCAGCAACCAGAAATCAAACAACTGGTTCAAGATATGTGATTAAACAGATATGGTTAAAGGGAAAACCAGAATATCAAAAACAGTATGTCATCATTAGCGCATTTCAATTTAAGGACTGGTTATGGGTATTGCCTCCCTATTGCATCTGATTGGCAGCACTGAAATAGAGATGTCTTCAGGCACATGATGAGTATCTCCAGAAAAGTGTAAATACGTATGAATCAAAGGCAGCTGAGAAACAGGCTGCTAACTAGTTCCCTTGTTACCACAGGAGTTGGCATAGCAGCCTGGCTAGCCACGTTTTATGGGGATTAACAGCACGGTTGGATCCCGTCTTCATTAAATCAGATTGTTTGGCTGAACCGACCCGTGGTATAAATAAAACATCTCACTTCAGGCAAACCATGTGAAGAAAAGACTGGTGGTTCTGCATGAATTGCATGTGTGATGAAGTGTGAAGCCATTGATCAAACTTTAGTTAAATTACAACAGTCAGCTTTTGATCCAATATTCTCGAAAACAAGAACTAATCTTGTGTAATTTATTACTCTGTGCAAAAGACCTCCATTGTTCCAAAAGCTTTAATGCACATCAATGTTACACAATGCAGATCCACAGCATTAAAGCCAATGGGATGGGGACACAAGTCCTTATTACATTTACTACTGTTTGTGTAGTATTTTTTAAAGTATTTTTCTTAATAAAACTGTTTGTGAACTGCTTACAGATTTACATCTTCAGAAATAAACAGGCTGAGAACCCCAGACAGGAAACTCACATCAGAAAGACGGTCTTACAACTTATTTGTCTTCCTTTTATGGGACTTGATAACAATAAAAAAAAGCCAGAGTTATGTCAGCCCTCTCCTCTAAAATGGTGGCAATGATTTAA